CGCAAAGCTCGCAAGTGGTCGTCGAATGTCTTATTGAAGACAATGATGTCGTCGATGTATGCTAAGCAGATGTCGTCCAGGCCGGATAGGATGCGAGACATGGCCCTACAAAAATAGGCTCTAGCGTTGCGAAGGCCAAATGGCAAATAAACGAATTGGTATATACCCTGGTGTGTATCCAAGGTGCATCACTTTCAACAATGCGACCGGACTTGAGAAGTTTGTTAATATGGTCGTCTAACTCCTTTTGAAATTTTGCGGGGATGCGTGGTGGTCGGATTCGATTAGGAGGTGACTCTGTTGTGGTCTTAATGTGCACCAAAGTACGGGTATATGAGCCAAGATCGTAGCTTGAATGCGATATACGGTCTCGGAACTCGGAGAATAGTTGGTAGAGCTGAGCTTTCTCCGCTTCACTTAGTTCGCACTGAGAGAGGTCAATATTCAATGGCTGGTGGGAGACTGACGCTTCGCGGTCAGTGACCGCTACGACGGGATACTCTCCATGATCATCGATGTCGGTAGGGATTTCGCACAAACCCCCTGAGTCGTCCACCGCCAGGGGGACCGCTGTAGCAACTTGTTGGCGCATGCACAACGCCTCAGGTCTAGAGGAGGGGTTTGTGACAAGCAGTAGAGTGCGCCCTGGACAAAGGACGGCTGGGGCTATAAAGAGCTGCTTACTGTACACCGCAGCTGATTGTGTTGTCAACATGATGGGTAGTGTAACATGGAATAAAAGCCTCTGACCTAGGTGGTATGGTTGATGTTTGTGCTATGCGGATCCTGACACCGTCGCGACGGGTTTCAGTGTCGCATGATGTTGGTGCAATGGAAAGAATGGGGACATCATCTTTCCCGACGGTAAAGCGACGAAGTCGATAATTTATGTGCCACGATGGCAAACGAGACAGAATATCGTTACCTAGAATTATATTGTACTTGTTCACTTGACAGGGAATGCACAAACCGCTGGTAAAGTGTATTGTATGGGTGAGGGTGATGGACCGGATTTGAATACGCACACTAGCGGATCCTACGAGGGGTACCGGTATGCCCGCCATGCCGATCGCCGACCGAACGCGTGAGGGGGACATACGGAACACTCCAATCAGGGTGGTCATGTCGCCGCTACAAACTGTGGTAGCTGCTCCCGTATCAACGAGTGC